GAAATCATGCTCCGAAAATAACTATGGATATTGCTGGTGCATCTTAGACTCCGGCTCCCAAGTCCACTCGGATCCCTTCCGATGTTGCCACTGAACCTGAACCAGGGGCACCTTTTTTTTCCTTAACACCTTCACCTCCGATCTAAGATCGCTATCAGCCTCTCAATATGGTTAAGACTGTCATCAACCTGAATATCCTCCAATGGCACCACTGTCATCTCATGTCATACAACAATCTCTTTCCCAAGACATCCAACCCATACATGAACTCCCTATCCCGCAAAAGGACGGATCCCTCTGCCACTGCGGTTCCAGTTCTGACTCTTCATAACCTGGAAACTCTAGTAGTTAGACTCTCTGCATGACCGCCCATGCAAAATATCATCATGTCATTCGCTCATCGAATGACCGATCTCAAAATCATACTTCCAACTCTAATTATCTTCATGCGACTGATGAAATCAGATCATTTACCATAACAACTGTCGAACACCCATACCCAACATATCAGTCGATCCAGATCGTACTCTAAAGGAACAAAAGGGTCACATCTCACCAGGGACCCATCAACTGCACTGCTATCAGCACCCATATGAACAAACGAACCCCAATACTTTGTTCTCAACACAAGAAAATGATTGTGCCTGCTCAAAAGTATCCTTGGACCTCTATAAACATAAGCCCCGACTTCCTCTTATATATCCCTTCCAACACTAAGCATCAGGTCAGCTCCTGACCTGGCACCTGGCCCTCCAAAGGCTACTCATTGCACTCCCAATAAAACGAATTTAAAATTGTTTAAACGAAAAGAAAACAATTTGCAAAAAGGTCTTGAACTTAGAAATATTAAACATAACCAAAGAAGAAGAAAGTGAAACAACCTTTGAGACTTTGGTTCCAATGAAGAAGCTCTCTAGAAGTATCCACAAACATTTAACCAACTTGATACGATGCTAGTCTTCACCTTATAATAAAAGAATCTCTTAAGCCTTTAAGAACAATACAAAGCTTTTGTTCTAAAGGAGAGTTCAAGTAAAGTATCAAATCCTTCTTACTTTGATCTTAATACTTCAAGAGATAAAAACTAGAAAGAATCTGGAGTTAGGAAGCCCACAAATTTATGGTTTTTGGCTAGTAAAAGAAGAGATACACGTAATCCTTTTAATCATCTTAATCTGAATTCTTACCCATTGAGTCTTGATGCTTTAAAACACCATGTATCTAGCAACAAAAGACTATAAGTGTAAGAACATGAATTTGTAATTAAATAAATACAATCATGTCTTCTTTCCCTTTACGGTCTTCTTGAATATTTTATAAAAAGAAGATGCTAGTTTTTCTATAAATTCTTTTAATTTTGTAAATTAAAAAAAATTACAAATTCATATAAGACAAAACCCCCCTTGTTGGTCCAAAAAGATATGCATGACATAATAAAATGTAACACCTACGTTTTCCACTAGACATTAATAAAGATGATGAAGTGGTTAGGATCAATAATTGTAATCTTTAAGGTTAACAAAAGAGGGTTATTTGATTATCATAGGTATTTGTGTGTGTGTGTGTGTGTATATATATATATATATATATATATATGAATACATTGTGTATAGCCTGTGAGTGAGACGAAGTAGTCGTAATAAGGATTTAGGAGGTATAAGGAGCGCTCAAAACGAACTTATAATGGATGAGTTATAACACGTTGAAGTTTCACGTTCAAACCGGCACAGCTACGATATCGTAAATAGCAAATTGGAGTTAGGACGATTATTAGCCTTAGAAATCTAAACCAAATTCGTAATAGACATTAAAGCGAGAGCGTATATATAGAGAACACCCCAATCTGACTTTGTAAGAGGAAGTTATAGGATTTTAGAAGTTTTAGCATAACAGTATATGGATCAGAAACCGAAGTAGAAATCGATTGATTGTTAGGAAAAGAAATATAAACGAGGGTTGAAGATCTCGTCCATATGGTTCCGTCGATATAAAGACAGTTGAGAACGGATATCATATGAGGAAGTTATGAATTTTTAACGGACTTTAACAATCTAAGCCTGTTAAAAATATAACTTTAAAAATAAAGTCAAAATTAGCCGACGGAGTCTAAACAAAAGTTGTAGATCTTGTCCAGAGCTTTCCGGAGATATAAAGAACATCGAAAACAGAACTCGTATGATGAAGATACGATTTTCTGAAGTTTTTCAAGAAGCATCACGTGTAGATATGTTGCACAGCACGCACCTTCTAGAAGGTGGGGCATGTACCACCATATTTGTTACGCATAGCAGAAAATAGGAGGAGCTACGTCTTAGGTGTGCGCGACACGCACTCTAGGCACGACACACAGTTGTTCTATGAATAGGCTTCGACTGATCATTAGTTTCCTTACTTCCCATCCTCATCCTCCTCGTCTTCATCCTCTCTTTCTCTTCATCTCTCTCTCTCTCTCTCTCTCTCTCTCTCTCTCTCCCTCCCTCTCTTCATCTCTCTCAAAATTCCCTCGATTTTAGCCTATTTCCTTTAGTTTTAGCCATCGTTGAAGCCCTGTGATCCCTGAAAAAGTGGTAGCCAGTGAGTAGAAGCTCTGCCAGCTCAATTTCATAACTTCTGTCAGGAAGAACCTCTGAAGGTTAAGCTACACTCTAGTTTTTTCTGTGTAACTTATATTTATAATCGTAAGTTGTTCTACAAACCTATAATAATATTTATCAGTAATTCCATGTCGTTATATTGATTGATCTACTTACGAGAGATGTGTCTAGAATGGTCATGTTGGCTTGGTTGTCGGATTTCAAAAAAGACTATATGTTGAAATGTTCCTGCCTCCTAACTGTCTTGCATGGCTGATCTTTACTTGATAGATCTTGATGTAGACATTAGGATTAGTGAGGATCTAGATTATTCTTAGTCTCTAGGATCATTAGACTAAAACATTGTAGTAATTATACTTAGTTTACGTCAAGGAATATCTGAGGTGTTAGACGAAGCTTTGTCCAGATCACCAGTTACCCATTTTATCAAGTGAGTGCATAGTTACTTTCATCTTACACATAGGTATGAAGTATTTAAGATAATTACATGCTATATGTGCCTATTATCTATATTCTTGATATCTATGCTAGACAAACGATTTATACATGTTTTACTCGATTTTAACCCGTATATGTATATTATTACTTATAAATATTTTCGATAAAGATGGGTAGATATAAGATGATATATATGATGAGAGATGAAATGTGATATAGATGATGAAAGATGAAAGATGATATAGATGATTAGAAGCCTTGGCTTTAAAGATGATCCAATTGTTTAACGAAGTATAGATAACGACCACAAACTATTCTAGATAGTCCAGTGGAACGCTAGCAGGCTCGCAACCTGTAAGTGTTTTTGAACTTAATATTCACCAGGTGTACTCCATCACTCCTGGTTACCTTAATGACATATATTGCGATGGACTCCCCTAAGCATTATTGTGTATCTCGAAGATGATCATTATGATATATCCCTGGAAATTAGATGTTAGGGGTAGAGAATGAGGATAATGAGAAGGGGTAATCTGGTTCATGACTTGATAATAATAAATAAAGATTTAATTATTGTGGCTTGAAAACCCGACGTGCTCACCAGACCCCCAAGTCCGACTTACTCAATTTCTTATATTACAAGTAGTGACACAAGAACATAGGTGGGATGATATGATGAGAGGTTTATTGATGCATGTAGGCCAGTAGTTTAGACAAACTAGTATAAGACATGTATTATTTCGTTTATGCTTATGGTACTGTATCGACAATGATATCTCAATGTTCTTAATATAAATAAAATACATTTTTTTCGGAAATATTTTGATAATATTAGTATCATGTTTTTTGGAACAAATTCTGCAATATTATTCTTTTAAGGATACTCTAATTTCAAAATAAACATAAATAAATCGGTCTTATTTTGTCGTGAAATTAGGGATGCAACATAAAACATACCTTATGATATATATATATATATATATATATATATATATATATATATATATATATATATATATATATATATATATATATATATATATATATATTGATATTGATATTTACCAATAAAAATTAAATTTTCATAAAATAAATAATTTCTAGTTAATTAGAAGATATATATTTATTTATCAAGAATCAGATTCTTATAAATAATATATTTGCATCAAATTGTTGTTAATTTCATCTTTTAGGATCATATATTATCTAGCAATATCATTTTATAATAACTATTAAGTATATATAATTTTCAAAAATTTTAACATTTTTAATATAACGTAACATAATAACTTAAATAATAATAGCCAGTTAATATATTAAATTTGTGTAGGGTATAAATCAAAAATGTAAAACAAAATGATGCAATATTATAAGTTAAAAAAAAAAAAAAAAAAAAAAAAAAAAAAAAAAAAAAAAAAAAAAGCAAATGTGAGGTCTTTTATCTAGGAACCATATATACCTCATTTTTGTGATACATAACAACTCTATAATGGATTGGTTTACTTGAATGATTTTTTGTGACAAAAAAAAAATTAAAATGAAAAATAGCCTTTTATATCTTTCACAAGTTATGGCATTGATATGAATAGGTATGGGACCTACCATATCATTGAAATTTTCAATTAAAGAAAAAAATTTGCTATTTAAACACGGAGGATATGGGTGGAGAGTTTTATTTATTTTTTTTTGGATCATATCATTATTTCCCTTACTTTTTTTTCTTTCACTTAAAATCTAATGAGTGGACAAGAAGTTTCCTTCACTATTTTTTTTTAATTTAAAAAATATATATATATTTCGTATAGATATTATACTCATTTGGTAGGGAATTAAAAACAATATATATATATTAATTTTTAGTAGATATATAATTTAATAAATATTAAAAAATAATAATAGGATTCTCTCACCACCTCTATTTTAAGATATTTTTAGCTTGAAATTTTTTTAAAAACTCATATTATGGATGTTTTAAAATGTTTTCTTTCTAAACGGTGGTCATGTTGTGGATACTCTTACAACAAGATGATGATACTACCATTCGCTAGCTAATTTAGGCCTAACAATCATAACCGAAATAATTGATTGATCAATTCTAGTGACTTTTTGATATGTCGTTGATGAAAGAATCAATATCAATTTGAGCAGAGCCTTCTTCTTCGATTGCTTGTCGAGAAATCTTTTTGACTTCCAATGCCCTTCGCCTCATCTCTTTCCCCTCTTCACTTTCCCCATCCATAAAACACTTAACGAGTTTAGCAATTTCTTCTCGAGTGACCAAATTACCCTCTTCGATCCTCACCCTCTTTCCCATCTTCCAATCTTCCACAATCATCTTACTATTCGGAACTTGATCCCAAAATATTGGAAACGTGAGCATCGGCACACCCGAAAAAGCACCTTCTTTCGTCGAATTCCAACCACAATGTGACCAAAATGCCCCTATGGAACCATGGCACAACACTCTTAATTGGTCACACCAAGGTATAACAAGGGCATTTTCGTCATTTCCATTTTTAAATCGAGAAATTCCGTCGCCCCTTGCAATCCACATGTAACGTACACCACTGTCGCGCACACCGCCAATGATTTCTTCCAACTGGGCATTCGAGACCGAGAGAAAACTTCCTTGTGAGATGTATAACACCGAACCATTGGGTTGATGGTCTAGCCATTTTATATAATCAGGGGTATTTTGGTCATTTTCAATGTTGTCCAAATTGAAGTAAGGTATTGCTGGTCCAATGGCGTATATGGGTATCGAAAGCTCGGATTTAATGGCATCGATGACTTGGGATTCGAGCTCGTAAACCGACACAAAAAGAAGAAACTGAGCTTTCGTCGCCATTGAAATGGCTTGCAGAGTTACTGGCAAAACTTCTTTGCCATTGCCATTGAAGCCTGTCACAAGATCAGACACGCGTATTGGACGAACTCCAGGTATGTAATCAACTTCTTCCTCAGCTTTTTCTACAGAATATCAAACCAATTATCAGATCGAGTCATGGATCTACAAGAACAAAGGTTTTCCGTTTTCCTCAAACATACCTGAGAAATAATCTCCGACGTGGCCGTTTTTGAGGAGGAGATCATAATAGTAGGTCAAGGAGAACACCGTCGCCGACATCGTAAACAATGACGCCACCGGAATATTCATTCGATTTCCGAGATTAATTACCCAAATAAGGTACGTATCGTATAACAGGACACTCGCCGGAACCTCCATCTGTCGGAGTAATTGCTCTACCGGATCCTCCATTTTCGTTTGTGTGGCATTGATGAAGCCAGGGAAGTCGGCGGCTCGGTTCACCTCGGAAGGGATGACGTTAGGGATGGTAGCGAAGCAGATGTTAGTCGGTTTTGGCTCGGAGCCGATGAAGCCCAGCCATTCTTCTGTAACGACGAAGGTGACGAGGAAGTCGGAAGGACGGCGGAGAGCAATGAGCTTGCAGAGGTTCATCATGGGGTTGATATGGCCTCTGCCGGGGTATGGTATCGCCACCACATGGCAGCTGATGGTGGCTGCCGGATCTGACATTAACAGGCTAGAAGTGAAATTGGAGGACGGAAAGGTTAAGCGTGGAGATATGTGCGCCAACACTGATTTTAAGGTGTTTGATACCCGCACTCCTATCCCACAACTCAAGGTTTTTATTGCACATACCAATCTAAAACATCAATTATATAGGTTTATTTTTTTAAGGACTTTATAATTACTTTAATCATTTCTTTATAGATCTATTAATTTTTAATAAAACAAGATAAAAATAATGTTTACCTTTTTTTCAAAGAATGCCACGACTTTTGTTTTTGCCTGCTTATCAACCTTGCTTTAATTTTTTTTTTTATATATAATTATTTAAGATATGTCAATTTATATATTTTTTATATATTTCTTTTAGTATTTAACTTTTTTTTACTATTTAAAAATAAACGTTTACTAGTAGTAATAGATATGTATATAAATTTGACGTTGCACGAGTAATAATATAGTGGTTCACGTTATGTAATATTTAAAATAGTTATTTGTCACATAATAATATATATTTCTCTAATAATAATTTATATCTACTGAAAAATACTCAAAAAAAATTATGGATTTAATTTATGATTTTGTAATTTATATATAATTAAAAACCGATGAAAAAAAATAATAAAAAATAAAATTATTAAAAGTTGATTAAATATTTCGCCAGCGATAACGTTAAAATAGGAGTCATTCGGTACATCAAATAATTATACATATAAAAATATATATTAGAAGTTATATTTCATCGTTGTTTCATCGGACCACCGAACCACCACGTTGCCGCCGTTGGACCACCGAATCCTCGGACCATCAGGCGTTACGCTGATACCACCGTCATATTGTTTATAATTTTTTCTTACTTTTTCAACTCTTCTTTAAACTTTTTACAACGTTTGAACATATATTTTTAACGTTTTTTTCAAAAAAAAATCATGAGCTGTAGAAAAAAGTTTCAAATTCAGATGATTTGATTTTGTTAAGAGCGAGTTTCGAATAAACGGAAAAAAATGTCAAAAAGTTAAAACTAAATAATATCATCAAAAAGTTCAAAAAAAAAAGACAAACAAAACATCAATAAATAAATAAATAAACATTAAATCTACATATTCGAATAAAACGGCAAGAAAATTAAATAAAAATGATTAAATATAAATAAAATAATAAATCATAATATTAAATTATTAATAAATAATGATTTTTAATAATTTAGATAATTAATTTAATATTACTAAATAAGTTGATCTTTTATTTTTTGCAAATTAAAATTTAATATTATTAAATAAGTTGATTCTTTGTGTTTTGCTAATTAAAATCTCAAAATATAAAGAGATATGTAACAAACAAATAAAAATAAGACATATATTAATATATATATATATATATATATATATATATATATATATATATATATATATATATATATATATATATATATATATAAAGAAAAAAAAAAAAGATGAATGTGGTTTGGCAAAGAAAAAAAAAGTAGTGTTTATTTGTAAAGTACTAGAAAGTAATTATGATGAATACAATTTCCTAGATTTAATTTGTTTAAAAGAAATAGATTGGTGTGTGACAAATGCTATAAATACTTTTCCTTTTTTGAGTTTTTCCAATTCCACCATCATGCGACTTTTTTATTTATTTATTTATTTATTAGCTATTATTACTATTATTGTAATTATTATTATAAATTTCAACAATTTTATAAAATTCGGATAACATTTTAAAATTCAGATGAAATTTTAAATTCATACGATATTATAAATTTGGACGACATAATAAAATTCGAACGACTATATAAAACGAAATAAAAGCAAAATTTGTCTTTATTTATCACGAATATATTAATTGGTTCGTTATTACATTTTGTGGTGCGTTATGCGGATTGAAAATAAAATTTACTTTTGTTCCATTTTATATAGCCGTTCAAATTTTATAATGTTGTTCAAATTTTATAATGTTGTCCGAATTTTAATATGTTGTCCGAATTTTATATGGTTATCGAAAATAATAATAATAATAATAATAATAATAATAATAATAATAATAATAATAAAAGAAAAAATAAAAGAAAAAACAACAAAAAAAAAAAACAAAAAGGGAAAAAAGAAAAAAAACAATGATATCAAATCAAATCTAAAAGGTTAATTAGATTGATGTTAGGAGGGATAAAATTAGTTAATAAGATACTTATATATAATATCTAAATTGGATTTGCCTTTATTAATTTAATAATTTTAGACAAATTTATATAAATGGTCTTATGATTTACTAAATTCACAATTTCAGTTCTTTTAAATTTATACTGACAAACATAATCTTTATGATTTTTAAAACTTACATGGTTGATCCATGTAGTTTTATTTACTAAAGGGTTTTTTTTTAAACGATAAATTTAACATAATCCTAACTACACCTTAAATCTATCTATGTCTACGATGAGACTTAAACCCTCAACCTTAAGGAAAGTGGGCAATACCGGATACTGCTAAGATATAATACCAAAGGGCTTTTAGCCCAACGGTATTCGGTGTTGCCCTCCGTCTTTGAGGTCGAGGGTTCGAGTCACACTGTGGACATATGTGGAATAATTTAGTAGCTGTTTAGTATATATTTGTATTTGCCATTAAAAAAAATGTAGTTTTATTTGATTACAAATTTGATATGAATTTACCATTATATTCTTTTCTAATTTTATTTTCATTTTCTAAATGTAATTTTACTTTTTAAAAAACGAAAATAAATAACCTACAACCCCCTCAACGTTACCCCCACCCTTCATTTCTCTTTTTAGGTTATAGATCGTACTTCCACCCATATATTTCATACTCTTAGTTCTCTCAATAGGAAAAAAAATTAGAAGAAAGCCATCACCCGATATAAATAATAAACAAAATCAAACTCATATTTAACATCCAAACCCAAACAACAACTCTTCAGGGAAAGTGAAAACTAATTTGAAATAACTATATATAAAAATCAAAGAACATGTGTATGTACAAAATAAAACACCACCTTTAATTCAAATTCAACCTTACTTATTTTATTGAACCTACCTGTAACACCAACCATCATCGTCTCCAGCATCAACAACTCAACCGCCATGATTACTTTTTCGCTTTCTCTCTACTTTCTCTCTCTTCCCGTGATTCTCTCTGACGGTATTGCGATCTAGTTTGTGTTTCGCTGACGCTGCTTCTCCGATGTTCATTCGTTCATCGTAGAAGCATTTTCTCTTCCCTTTTCTGGTGTGCTGATGGGTGCTTCTTCCAAGAAGAATCGGTTGAAGGATGTAAAAGTAAAGCCTCCTGATAGGAGTGTTGTTGTTTGATATGTTAGGACGGAAGTTGATTTGAGTTAGGTTGTTCTGCCTGGGGTGGTTGAGCAATATTATGCTACCTTTCGGTGTGTATGGCTGTTTTGAATGAAGAAAAAATATCGGAGGAATTGGATAAAGGGATAAACAAGGAGAATAAGGGCAAGGGTGTGGTGGATGATGAAGGTTTTACTAAGGTTGTTAATAAAAAGGTAAAAGGGGGTGTTGATGGAGTAGGAACTAGTAGATCAATGGAAGCTTCTGGAAACATGTATAAGCAAAGGAATAATAGGAAATATGGGTATTTTAATAAGGGAAACAACTTTAAGGGTAATGGTGGGAACAAAGGAGGAAATTGAAGGGGTCAAAATGGAAATTGGAATAAGAGAGGGATGAGTCATTGGAATTTTAAAAAAAATCAAAATTTTGAGAAGTATAATGCTTTACCTGTTATGGCTAATAACCAAGGGAATAAGGAGAGTAATAATCAGGGGGAAAATTAAACAGATCTCAAAAAATATGGAAGGTGTTAAGAAGGTTTTAAGTAAGAATGTTGATGTTGTTGATGAGAGCAGTAATAAAAACATATTTGAAATTCTAACTATGATTATTAATGAAGTTGTTGATTGTATGGAGGAAGATGCCAAGGGGAATAAGGTTGATGATCATAATATTGCTGAAAATAATGATATATCCAGGCTTGCTTTAGAAGAGACCAAGAAGGTTTAAGGGACTCTTAATAATAATGGGACTGGTGAAGTAGTGAAAAAAATTGTGGTATTATTACTAATTCTAGTAGAATGATGAGTAATAATAGTATTGAGGGGGATAGTAGGACGGAAAGAATGAAATCCTAGGCATTTGAGGAGGTAAATGCCAAAAACTCTAGTCTTATCCAATGATGTCTATTGGTGTTTGGAATATTAGGGGGATGAATAAAACTGTTAAGAAAATGGAGGTTATTGAAGTTATTAGAAGCAATAATCTTGGGATTTGTGCTGTTGTGGTGTCTCATGTTAAGGTCTTAAACCTTAAGAAGGTGTGTCTTAAGACTTTTGGACAGTAGGAGTGGGTCTTAAACCTTGAGAAGGTGTGTCTGGCACTAGAATAATTGTTGGTTGGAATCCTAGATTATTTGATGTGATGGTGATATCTCAAACCAAACAAGTTATTCATTGTTATGTTAGATTCTGTGATTCTAATTATAGCATGTACTTGGCCTTTGTTTTTGCTGCTTCGAGCTATATAGAGAGAAGGTTGTTGTGGGATAATTTGGTGCAACATAGTTTGGTTGTTAGAAAGGATGCATGGGTAATTTTAGGTAACTTTAATGTAGCTTTGAAACCTTCAGGATATTCTAAATGCTCCTTTAGAATTCCGGAAGGTGTTTTTGATTTTTTTGAATGTATAAATAAAATTTAAGTCGAGGACATCAATTGTATTGGATTTCAGTTCACTTAGACTAAATCTCCAGTTGGTAATAAGGGAATTTTGAAGAAGTTAGATAGGGTGATGGCTAACTTGAAATTTATTAAAAATTATCCTTTGGCTCAAGCTGTGTTCAAGCCTTATCGGATTTCGGATCATTGTCCTGCTATTTTAAATATTCCTATGTGCAAGCCTAGATGGAAACCTTCCTTTAGGTTTTATAATTTTATTACGGATAAGGAAGAGTTCTTGCCTATGGTTATAGAGATTTGGGACTCTAATATTGAGGGGTACTTTATGTTTAAGGTTTTTCAAAAGATGAAACTCCTAAAAAAGCCATATCGTGAGTTATGCATCCAATATAGG